GGGGGTGGAGTTGGAGGAGTAGGGGGGTATCTGAAACTGTAACGGAACGGAAACTAGGTCATAATATTATTGCCCTTGGCATCAATACAAAAAATCAAAACAAAACAAAACTGTAATAATTATTGTTGTAAGTAAGATGTCCTCCTGAGTTGACATAATTTTATCGAGCTTCTCAGTCTTTCTGCTGGGATGCTATTCCCATTCTCTCATTTCTCATTACAGGCAGGGTCTGAAGCCCGCCTACTTAAATAATCTAAATTATATCGATTTGGCCGGGGGTGGGGGTGGGGGGGGGCGTAAATACAGCTACATTGAAAAATAACAACGACCCAAAACCACCAACTTCTGAGCACTGAACTCGATTTTAAAAAAAGACAACAATCAGACAAGTCCAAACTCAAGAAACTGAGACTCGTCACTAAAGTGATATAGACATTTCTTCCTGTTTCTGCACTCGTAAGCTGGAGGTTGGAGGGCACCACTGCCCTGCTAGGTCCTACCTACTTCTTTACTTGTATTCTGTTGCTCCTGGCTGACTGTCTGACTGTTCCCTAGCACTAATACTAAATGACCACTGTGTCTATAATATTATTATGTTTCTCTTTACCCAAAACAAACGAACAAAGGAAGACATATCGTCAGTCGCCTTATGAAATCGTGAATTCCACACGAAGCAAATTTTACAGGAGAGGGAAAAAATTGGTTTTCTCCGTCATTTGGCGTCCAAGATATACACTACAGGGTGATCCCCCAAAAAAACTTTACAACTTTTTTTCTGAATATCACGCGCAAAAATAGTTCTTGGACGCTGTAATTTGGAACAGACATAATTCATACGAAAGGAATTATTTGGATATAAAATGCACGAAGAAGAAACATGCTTTGAAAACGGAAACAGCTAATAGAAAAAAGCACCCAAAAACGCAAAGTTCACCAATTTTTTAAATTCTTGTAAAGGAAGTTGTGAAAAGATTAGTTGATCTTTCTCTTTATTTTGTCTTTGACATTAATTTTCCATCCCTGTGACATTTAAACAATATTTAATTTCTTTAACAGAGTTTTAAAAACCTAATGATTTAAATCTGAAATTCCTAGAAGCAGTGCTCCACATTCCCTCCTTTGGACTCGACACATTTTTAACGCGTCGTGCGAAATGTTCTGTGGCGCCCTAACACAAGGAACTGCTAAACCATGATTTTTTCAAGCCACAAGCACTATATAATATATAACATATTATGTTCACTAAGAAGTGGCTTCTAGAGACAATAGAGTAGGGTGCCCAATAGACAGCATTTTTGGAGTTAACATATTATCCCGCAGGGTGAAAATGGGCTTTGCACTAAACCAAATGTCATCGAGGAAATGATCCATCTTTATAAGACAATCGAGGAATCATGAACATATTGCCATGTCATCTCGGTCTAGCGAAGATGAACATGGTATAGTCGTAGGTTAAGATCTGCCATGAGAATGCAGACTGTTGATGTGTAGGAAAGTCCTAGCTGCAGATCGTCTACGGACAGACGTCTCATTGGACTCAGCTACTGAAATCTGCACTCTGGTGACGTTTAAAGGGGCTGCGCATGGTGCGTGTACGACCTGAAGTGGTCATTTTTAAAGAACTTTTTAGTTCTATTTCGCTATAGATCCAAACTGACAGAACTTCTCTATTCATGACGCCAAATGTCTTGAAGGCACCTAAGCATTCTCTCCATGCCGTGCGCAGAACTTACGAAATGTCAGGGATGGTGAGTTTGTGGAGAGGCAATGTTCAATACAAAAAGCTCTCTACTCTTTACTAAACGTAGCCATGATCTCAGCAGGCAAACAAAATTTGGAAAAAAATCATATCTGCAGACTTCTGTTGACTTGTTAGACTGCTGTACCTTGCAATATGGCGCGATTGTTGCAACTTTTAAAGGTAGGCCTAATGCAACTGGTGCGTCATGCTATGAAAATGGCGACAAGGTTGAAAGAGGGTTGTTTTTTTAATGCGCTATATAGAGCAAAATCATTTTATGGACTTAACTAAAATGCATATCAGACAAAATCCTTTTGGCTTCCAAACATGACGTTCAAATCTGAAACGCAAAACGTCAGTATGGAGGAAGATATTTACAAAACAAGTTGTAAAGTTGTTTTTTTGATCGCCCTGTAAATGGATAAATCTAATCAATTATCTTTAAGTTTTAGATATAATAATAATAATAATAATATTGTAGTACATTTTTTACCGTAAATGGTCATTTTTTCAATAAAACGGTGGGATTCACGATTTTCATCTTCGAATCTCGCCTGATGCGGTCGTGAATTCCACACAGGTGTTTAATTCACGATTTCATCAGTAGGCTTTTGGGAACACGGTGTTGTATTCACGGTTATTAGGCAGTGTATTTTCTCTTATTTGAGGCCCTGGTATGTTTTAAAATATAGTATGAAAGCACGAAATACTGTTATAAGAAAGATTTTGAAAGATAATTTAAAACTGAAATTGAAATTATAGACTGAGAGATACAGATAGCTATTCATTAGTTTACCACTATAAACATCTCTCACTCTTACATGAATGGGATATTGTATGTAATTT